CTATGCCTTAATATGAGAAGTTAAAATATGAGAGATAGGTTCAGAAATAGAGTAAATATAGACATTTATTGAAAAACTTCATAGTCAATAATCAAAAAGTGCTCATTTGTCCAGGACTTTTTCATGCCAAACTTTGAAGTGGAGAAGTTGAATGCGAAAACAAGGTCCCAAGTTAAACGTAGTGCTCTAAGAAATTGTTGAATAAAAAAGTAAAATGTATTTAGCTGATGCCATATTGGCGTAGTTCAGGAAGAAAAGTTAGCTGCTTTTTTATAATTTGAAGATATCGAAGAATCTTATTCAGCGTCTACTGCACGCATATCTGAGGGCCAGAAACAGTATGGATGCGTATCGTAAGTTGTCTGCCCAAATGCGCTTAGCTTTGCAAAACATTAGAGTTTTCTCAATCTTTTTTCTGTAATTTACGATGGAGACTGCTCTATTTGTAACTGACAAAGGAAACTTGATATTTTACATAATGAAGAAGTTTCATGAGAGAGACTCACTTGAAAAAGCGAATTTACTCTCAGCTAACATACGACATTCTGATTATTCATAAATGAAAGGTTCGTTTTTTATCGTATAACCCAGTGTATTCAATAGACTTAATAGACTTTTTCAACTTTCATTAATCACAAAAAGTACTACTTAGATATTACTTTATTATTATTTTTCTTCATTTTACTTTTTACAAATCTAAAAATGTCGTTTGAGTCAAATTATTTCACAACTTTTTTTCGGTTTTTATTGCAAAGTTTTTTGTATGATAAATTTCTTCTTTTGTCCTTGACAATCAATAGTAGTGCTCCACATGCTTTTCAAAAAGTAAACAGAAAGATAAAAAAAGCTTGAAATAGCTTCAGCACTTATACATTTTTAGTGGGGTGGTGAGTTTTTCCTTTTGTCCACGGATATGTCATCAGCAACATAAAATTCGTTCTGTAACGCATCTTCGGCGCGGATCATTCGACGCAGCTTTAAATAGTTGGGAGTCTAGTACTCCCAATTCACAGAAGTCAAATGAATGCAGAAATATTAGAAGGTAGTTTGAGTCGGTCTCTTCAACCAGTTCAGTCGTATTAAGCGATTGCGTTTAAATTGTCGTTTTACTGTGCACTGATAATCTCCCCACAGCTGCAAATACCAATCCTTAGTTGATATTTGGTATATGCTGGTGGATAACTGCACTCAGCTAACTATACCTGTAGAAAATAACTGTCACATTTATAGAATTATATAAACACTGCATAACGTTTTGCGCTATTGCTAATATAAAAAAACAAAATTTTTTAAATGTTTTAAGGCTATTTTTTACAATTTATCCTACCTTTGAATAAAACCTTGCTTTGTTGTTTTAGTAACCCTCACCAAATGCATTACACATTTGCTGTATTTCCGAAAGAAATGGTCGTCTGTGTGACACCGTTTCAACGTATTACAATTAGCTCGTTTTTTAAGAATAGTTTTGTAATAGTTTTAAGACCTATAGCAACACTGTGCTCATTTGTGGTAAAATAAAGTAACTGACAGGTGATTTTGACTTATTGAAAATATTTTATGCTTTTAATAAAACTCTTAGAAAAAACTGGTGATTTTAAATGCTTCAAACTTTGAACAATATAATTGAAATTTCATATCACTCACTGTAATCCGGTTACTAGAAAATACTAGTAATAGAGAATATGATTCTGTTAATCGACTTTTTTTTAATTTAAAGTTGTGGTTTAGGCTATACGCTGTCTGCTACTGCCAAATCAATATTTTTGGGTCTCAAAGCAACATAATCGTCTACATTTGATACAAAAAATCCACAGAACTCTTGGCGATATCAAATCCACAGTGCTCCTAATGAACATCACAAAAACTGTTGCATTCTAAGTTTTCAAGAAATTGTAACAAATGTAAAATTTACTTTGAATTAGCTAACGTTTATTTCTGAGTATCCAAAAAGTTTTTTTCAAAGTTGAAAGGGTCAGATAAGGAAAACAACTGTTTTTTATGCAGAAATAACAAGCAGCAATTTATCAGATTTTTATGCAGCAGATGCTCATATACACCAATCACATCACTTAGTAATTGCTAAATTTGAAGCCGTCAATGGTAGAGCTTAGGCAAAGGAGTAACAAAGAAAAAACCTCCGAATTATACATAAATTCCCAAATTGAAGGTCCATCGGTAGATCGTAGTATTGCCTTATTAATACGCCGACGTCTCCACCTCTTTTACACAATGAGTGGCTTAAATGCCGAAGCCTGACCTATTTCATCCGAAAAGTCCGGAAAGAAACAGATTAAAAGAAAACATCTTTCTCATGTAACAACGACTTTTATAATATTCGTTAAGTTTACCTGTACAGTAAAATCCTCAGAATTCAGCTTGAAATATCAATCTCCGTAGTTCTCTGTGAACCCCATTTAGCATCAGCAGCTACAGCAATGAGAAAAATACATTTTTCAGTAAAATTTGATTTTCTACACTTTTCTATAATCTGTTGCCAGATATTGAAGGTAATTGGCAAAAAACTACTTTTCTGATAAATTACCACTTCTCGTTTTTCTTACCTCTTGTTAGCGAATGATGATCACTATATTTGACCGTTAATTTGATCGCATTTTTAAAATATTGCTTATCTGCGTTTGATTGAACAAATTGCCTTTTTCGCCCCTTCCTTTTCTTTTTCATTTATTTTGCCTGGAAGTTTGTGTGATGTTATTTTTGCTGAAAGAAACGATTCTGGTAAGATCGTTTTCAAATTATCATACGCTTATATATTCCAGCTCTTTTAGAGCTTTTGTTTTTTAGCAACTATTGCTAGCAATTTATCTCCGGCTGGAAAAAACTTTTTATTCATCTTCTTGTTTATGCCACTTCGGCATCCAAACAATGCAAATTGTCAAGCCGAAAATTAACTCAAAGCAGAAGAAACCATGACCACTGCCAAAAACTATTTATTTTGTTACTGAAATACAGTACACGTTTCAGTCGACATCAAAGTTCACATCTGTTGCTATAAACCGTACCGATTAATCTAGTTCACTGCCAAACCAGTTAATTGCTTTCCTGTCACTTGATGTTCTTTGTTCCAATACATTAGCCAACAGCATTTATTTTCAACTTGCACTAGTTCCACTGGAACAGTGTAACACGTATTAAAGTTGTTGATAGATTTAGATCGATGGCAATATTTACTTTTATTTTTTCATCCTGGTAGAAATTGCAATGCAAATGAGGAAACTGTGAAGGCTTTTCTGCTCGTTGCTACCGTTTCGTCAACAATGGCTCAACAAAAATTTATTGATGTAGCTGTTGCTTCATTCAAAAACCTCAAATTTTCTTCTAGAATGGGTACTTTAAAATGTTTGATTAGAACCATAGATATGCCATAAAAGGGCCGATTTGCAAAGGTCATAAAATTGGAAAAGGACATATGTTAAGAAGAGAAGTGTAATATGGTGAGTGTTAGACGATGGCCAAACAAAATAAAAAGTGAATATGAA